AGGATAGTGTTGAGATAGGAGAGCAGATGGTAGTAGAGAATGATGCAGATTAATCTGAAATAGTGCAGAATACTATCATGGAGGTACAGGATGAGTTCTTTGATTTTAATGGAAGACAAGAAGATATATCTGATCAATACCGCTCGTTAGGGAAGAGAGAAACTAAATGGAAGGCATATGGATTTGATTCTTCTGTTTTGAAAATTAAAGATGGATGGGCAGGTAGGAATCTTTGGTTCCAACAGTTAACTCATTCTGTAAGATCAGTGAGGAATCTTGAGGGTCCATGTCTGTTGAGAATTCCAGCACCAGGCACATGGGGGTCTATCGATAGCGAAACCTCTATCAAGTACGTGTCAATCTTATGCTTTATCATGGCTGTTGTATCAGCAACAATCATTAACAGATACAATAATGTCGTTGTCGAAACATTTGTTTAGGCCTAGGTTTTAGTGTTCTTGGTTAAATGAATTACCCTATGTGAATTTGTTAGATGGGAAGGAAAATCAGTTAACAGCGATTCCTGAAGCATTGGAGGTGAAACCAGTAAGGGCTAAAAGCTGTTTTTGTTCAAATAAAACATATGATGGAAAGGGTATGTTTATGGGAATATCAGATTGTGATGATTATATGATGACTTTGGGTAACCATGAACATAAGGTTAGTAATGAGAAATATAATGTAACTTTTTATGTTCCAGTTAGTAAGAAGAGCAGGACTTTGATGGTGAAAGATCAGCTTTTGCCTGGTAATGTGACTATTGGGAATTTTAGAGATATTTGGTGGGTTTGTGGTGATAAAGCATATATATTCTTACCCTATGGATGGACAGGATGTTGTTACATGTCGACATTGAAGCTTCCATATGAGGTTTTTACCATTAAAAGAGGGGAAGCACCGGACACAGATAAATCTGAGTCTAGGTTTGGAAATAGGGTGAAAAGGGACATGGCGAAATGTCATAGTCTGGAAGCCTACCATTGGAGGATAAGTCTAGGAGAGAAGTGGGGACCAGGACTTTTTCCATGGTATGGTGTAACATTTGTAACAGTTGTTAACTGTTACTGATCTAGATGAAGATGAACAAGTGGGACTGGATGGAGTATTGATGGATAGATATCCATTTTGAATATCCGATTATTTTTCAAATGTTTTTAAATATTAGTGTGATTTTAGTATTTTGTTATGAATCAAATGAGGGAAATGGTATGTGATTCATTTTATATATCATTTTTATATTTTTAGTTGATATTGATGTTTTAATTTGAATGTGTTGTTTTGCAAAATATACTGTTTGGTCTTTTCTTTTCTTCCAGAAGCATATGGGGGAATGTGTAGAGGGGATTCAAATACTCAAACATGGACAATATGAAAGGACAATATGAATGGACTGGAGGAAGTGGAACAAGGAAGGTGTGGAAATGTTCAGAGTCCATCATCAACGATGCATTGGAAGTCGACACTGCTGAGGAGATGAAGTGTAGTGGACTACATTCCAGTGTCTGCAATGATATATAGACATATTTGCATGTGTAATACATAATTTGTGTCATATTCTTTCTGTATTAATTTTTGTTGAATGATATTTGCTGTTATTGGGTACATGTGGGGATCTCAGATGTTTTTGTTTATTTCGTGGATGCTTAGGGATATTGGGTCTAGGCAGGGATAGAGAAAATCCACAGGAGGGTCCGATGGGTTGACCAGCCTGAATGTGGACATTTTTGTTTGTATTTTGTTTGCTGAGGCTTTCATGTGTATTCAAAGTGCATCATAGTTTAAAATGCATTGATAAAGATTTATGAATTGATCTGGAGTACTTAGGTGGTTGCCTAGAAAGCTGCCAGACAGGTTTTTCACTCTCACACTCCATAAAGATTTGTTCATATTTCATAGAAATGTATTTACACTCCATAGAAAAAAATCTTTTTGGTTTATTGTTAAAAATACTCAATAAGAGAAATTGTTATTTGTCATAATCCTATTATTTTTGTTTTCGAGACTTAGTTAGTCTCGAAGGGGGGAAATGTGGTATCTAAGGAATGTATGACTTTGTTAGCTTTGCAAATGGTAATGTGGTATCTAAGGAATTTATGACTTTGTGGGCGTTTGCAAATGGTAGTGTGGTATCTAAGGAATTTATGACATTGTTAGTGTTTGCAAATGGTAGCTTAGAGAATGTTGATTTGGCCCAGGGAGACATCTGGAGAGCAGTTCTATAGGAGTACCCTAAAACAGAGGAAATCTGTTGTGTGGAGTGATGGGATTGGTCTGTAGGGGAAACCACCCCTATCTTGGTAAAGATTATAAATACTTGGTGAAGACAAAGGAGGTCAGAACAACATATTATTTTGGGTCCACTGTTCTCCAGATGCCTGCAGGTATTTGTAAATCGACGCTGAAATCCTTTGTTATGAATAAACCTTTATAATCAAAGTACAGTGTCAGCGGATCTCCTTGTCCTCCACAGCATGATTAGCAACATGTTTTCGGACACAACACTTTCACTTTTACTCGAGTCATTTTCTATTAAGGTACTTTTTCCACTACTGCTGGGGAGGAGCTTGGGGTTGTTTTTCGACTGTGTTGTGATTGCTTTGAAATCAGATGCACCATCGCCCTGCATCTCAATGCAATTTGCTTGCAACTGATAGGCCAGCCTTAATCTCTCTATAGCCGTTATAAAAACAGTGTTGCCTACAGGTGGTCGGTTATGCACGGACAGAGGCGACAACTATCTGGGAGAAAGAAGAAGTGCGAGGAATAAGTCAGGCATATTTGTCACATTTGCAACAGCAGCACCTAGCTGAGCTTTAGTCTATCAATTTTGAGGAATCTCCAGTTTCAATAATCAAAACATCAACATGGGTAAGCTTTTATCTTTTGAAAACAGAGGGAAAACGGTGCAATTCGGTTCAATCCACTAACCACGTTTCCATCCACAGTTTTTATGAGAGTAAAATCCTACTGTATTTTAAAAAACAGCTGTGATGGAAACAAGAAGTTCCGGTTAGATTGTATAAATGCAGACAGATCATTTGTCCGTTTGACATGGTGGGATCTTTTTGGGTCGGTAAAATTAATAATGCGAGAAATGGTGGTGGAAACGCCTTTATGCGCAAATATAGACCCATGGGGCGGCGCACAATTGGCCCAGCGTCGTCCAGGGTAGGGGAGGGAATGGCCGGCAGGGATGTAGCTCAGTTGGTAGAGCATGGCATTTGCAACGCCAGGGTTGTGTGTTCGATTCCAGTATAAAAATGTATGCACTCACTAACTGTAAGTCGCTCTGGAGAAGAGCGTCTGCTAAATGACTAAAATGTAAATGTAAATATTGATATAATAACCATCATATAGAAGTAAACTTGGAGTCACTACGAGTCGGGAAACCATGCAGTTTATTTGGCTACTGATTAAATAAATTGTGATGAACTTCACAGAACCAGTACCTGGGCTTGTGGAGACTACTGGTTCAAACTTCACAGGGTGGTAAAAGTGCACGGTGATGAGCTTGATGCCTCTTTCTAATAAATATCAAGGGTCTTATTCTAGTAACATGATGATCAATGCTTGACAGCCGTTTGACAAATAAAAATATTATTGCTCTTATCCATTATAATCTCATCATGTAGCATACGTGCACAGACTATCCGCATTGTATCTGCGAGATGTTGGCTAGAGCGCACGAGCCAAAAACAGAGTAGGCAGGCACATTTGCTATTTAGTTGTTGTGACAAAACTATCGTTAGAGTTGAAAATGCAATGGAAACATTGAACCTTGGATTTTTATTAGGTACATGAAAACTAAAGGTGCAATACGCAGAAATGTCCTGTTTGCAAAACTTCTAATAGTTCACCTAATTTCAGTTTATGTGACAAAACAAGCAGTCATTGTGTAGAGAATCATTGTACCATCTAAAACCTGTGAAATATATTTTCCATAACCAAAAATGTTGTATTTTCAGCTGTTTGATGCTGGTGTACAAAACCAAAAGTAAAAGAGGCAAAAACTAAATTTAAAAATGGGAGGCATAGAAATAGTGCACATAGAATCTACAGCTTCTTAGACTTGCTTTCAATGAGAATGGCAGATCTATAACTCACATTTCTATGTGAATTTGGTTAGGCGGCCCAAAAGGATACATATTGCAGGAACAAGTCCATTTGGTGGAAACACACTACTGGTGGGAAAATGTGCATATTATGCGGATTTTAGAATATTTTTGGGAGGAAACCCAGTTACAGTGCCATGTTGTCTGTCGTACATGGGTTAAAACTCAGAAGTATGAATAATAGTTATTTCACAAAAACTGGTGCACCAGTTAAAAGATCCTGTCATATATTTATATTATTAGATTTGAAATGTACAGTTGAAGTCAGAAGTTTACATACACCTTAGCCAAATACATTTAAACGCAGTTTTTCACAATTCCTGACATTTAATCCTAGTAAAAATTCCCTGTCTTAGGTCAGTTAGGATCACCACTTTATTTTAAGAATGTGAAATGTCAGAATAATAGTAGAGAGAATGATTTATTTAAGCTTTTATTTCTTTCATCACATTCCCAGTGGGTCAGAAGTTTACATACACTCAATTAGTATTTGGTAGCGTTGCCTTTAAATTGATTAACTTGGGTCAAACGTTTTGGGTAGCCTTCCACAAGCTTCCCATAATAAGTTGGGTGAATTTTGGCCCATTCCTCCTGACAGAGCTGGTGTAACTGAGTCAGGTTTGTAGGCCTCCTTGCTCGCACACGCTTTTTCAGTTCTGCCCACAAATGTTCTATAGGATTAAGGTCAGGGCTTTGTATTGGCCACTCCAATACCTTGACTTTGTTGTCCTTAAGCCATTTTGCCACAACTTTGGAAGTATGCTTGGGGTCATTGTCATATCTCTGGCAATTCTTACAAGTTATGACAAATAATCAAATATAATAAGTTCTTATATATACATTCATTTACAAACAGGATCTCACGAAATGGCAGATTAACTGCAATACATGAACAAGTATAAGTCCATCATAAAGCGGGTCGGGCAAAACCATGGAGTGGCGCCATCCATCATAGCTGGTATCATCTCACGAGAGACCAGGGCTGGGACAGGAGCAGGACTGGTCAATGTTTGGGGGGACAATGGAAATGGATTTGGACTCATGCAGGTAGGCACTCAGCTTAGCTTTGCAGGTACATTTTGTTATACAGTTGTTGGCAGACAAGATAGCTTGTTTCCTATTTCACAATACAATGTAAGCAGTGTCCATAGTTTTCTATTGAATATTTTTTATAGGTTGACAAAAACTGGCACAAGCCACAGGGGGGATGGGACAGTGAGAAACATCACAGCACAGTTGAAAAATATGACAAATAGAAATCAAAACTGGATGGTCTTCAGAGATAGATGGGAGGGGTTGAGGGTAGCTGAAGGATGGGATTAAAAACACTACCCTGGCATTACAAGTGCCATGCTCTACCAATTGAGCTACAGAGGACCACCCATACGGGGTATTGTGTGTAGATTGATGAGGGGAAAAAACAATTTGATACATTTTAGAATAAGGCTGTAACCTAACAAAATGTGGAAAAATTCAAGGGGTCTGAATACTTTCTGAAGGCAGTTTCATCATAGCGCTTGATGGTTTTTGCGACTGCACTTGTGGAAAACTTAAAAGTTCTTGACATTTTCCGGACTGACTGACCTTCATGTCTGTCATTTCTCTTTGCTTATTTGAGCTGTTCTTGCCATAATATGGACTTGGTCTTTTACCAAATAGGGCTATCTTCTGTATACCAACCCTACCTTGTCACAACACAACTGGTTGGCTCAAATACATTAAGAAGGAAATAAATTCCACAAATTAACTTTTAAGAAGGCACACCTGTTAATTGAAATGCATTCCAGGTGACTACCTCATTAAGCTTGTTGAGAGAATGCATAGAGTGTGCAAAGCTGTCATCAAGGCAAAGGGTGGCTATTTGAAGAATCTCAAATATATTTTGATTTGTTCAACACTACATGATTCCATATGTTTTATTTCATAGTTTTGATGTCTTCACTATTATTCTACAATGTAGAAAATAGTAAAAAATTAAGAAAAACCCTTGAATGAGTAGGTGTGTCCAAACTTTTGACTGGTACTGTGTGTATATATATATATCATTTTTTAATATAAAATGTTCCCCTAACCCTACCACCCCTCCCCTAATTGGAGTAAACTAATGGACAACAACACTTAGGCTTCTACTTCCAGCTTATACATACTATATAGATTTTACGGACACAATGTCTTTTACAATAGTTATCTTTTGTTTGTTTTTAATCCCATCCTTCAGCTACCCTCAACCCCTCCCATCTATCTCTGAAGACCATCCAGTTTTGATTTCTATTTGCCATATTTTTCAACTGTGCTGTGATGTTTCACAAAAGTTCTGAAACGTTCTATTCTCATAGTGTCTACAGATTGCAAACCAAAGATAAACACCTTTGCTAAAAGTCTTATTATATTATTGATCGATTGACTATGATTTTTCAAATCACCCAGTAGTGCTATCTGCAGAGTTAGTTCCAGGTAAATGTTGCAATTCTTCAACCATTCTTGGACCTGCGACCAGAAACTACATATGGACAGTACCAAAACAAATGATCTAATGATTCTGTCTCTTCGCTGCAAAATCTGCAGAGCTGGGATGGTTGTATCCCCCATATATTTAACATTCTATTGGTTGCAAGAATTTTGTATAATAATTTGAATGGGAAAATTCATAGTTTTAAATCTGGCGTTGTTTTGTGAATCAGTTCATAAACCATGTGCCATGGAATCGGTACATCAAAAATCTCTTCCCAACTATTTTGCAATCTATATGGCACAGCTGTCCATTTTTGGGTCCTTAAATGAAACTGCCAAGAGTTTGATGGAGATGATCAGTCATACATTTAATACAAACTTTATTATGCATTGTACAACTACATGGCTACACTACAGCCTATTTTTTCAGGAGGATTAGCGGCCTACAATAGGGGTCTGGATAATGTCCACTCATACAGCAGAGTGGATGAGAACACCACTGGGGGGGACTACTCAAGGGATGTTCTTGCCAGAGCTACATTTTACAGAAGCAATGGTTATTAAAGTCAACTCAGTGGTTGCCTAGCAGTCTTTGATTCAGGCCATTGTGAAGAAAATGACATATCCTTTACTACCGTATCGAAACTTAGGCTGGTGTTTAATTGTTAATTAATTATGATTAATTAATCCAGTATTTACCAATCCTTGCCCTTGGGTGCACATTTTTGTTTTTGGCCTAGCACTAACACCCTTGAGTCAACTCATCATCAAACCTTTAGTTGGGAAGCACAGATTTATAACATTCTAGTTCATATGATTTTACAATCCAATGTAATGAGAAATGTTTCTGACCTATTTGTGCTCCCTGCGATTGTCTTGACCATCACTATGTATTGAAATAACATGACTAGCTACAACCTTAAAAATAAAACGTATGATTACAGTCTTTTGTTGTTGACCTCTGTTGAAATAAGTATCAGTATGACGGAAATCTGGTGGCAACCCTAATCATGTCATGGAATCACACACACACACACACACACACACACACACACACACACACACACACACACACACACACACACACACACACACACACACACACACACACACACACACACACACACACACACACACACACACACACACACACACACACACACACACACACACACACACACACACACACACACACACGTTGAGTTACTTGTCAAAATAAAATGTTACAGAACACACACTCACTTTTTCTTAGTTTGGTAACATTTATTAATTGTCAAAAAGTAGAGTGATTACATTGCGGATTTCTACCATGCACTAGCAGTAAGAACACCACATTTCATTTCTGTGATTTAATCTGTCTTTAATTTTAATCTGTAATCATTTTATGTATTTTAATCTCTGATTAAAAAAGGGTATTGTTTTTATAATTGAAATGAATGAAATATAGGCTACCCATTGATTCTTGAAGAATATAATTTACATGCATACATGGGTCTATCACTCAATGAAGAAAAACAACCTTACATAGGCAATTACATCATTACACTAAAAGATACACTGAGTGCACAAAACATTAGGAACACTTCCCTAATATTGAGTTGCACCCCCTTTTGCCCTCAGAGCAACCACAATTAGCTGGGGCATGGACTACAAGGTGTCGAAAGCGTTCCACAGGGATTCTGGCCCATGTTGACTCCAATGCTTCCCACAGTTGTGTCAAGTTGGCTGGATGTCCTTTGGATGGTGGACCATTCTTGATACACACGGGAAACTGTTGAGCGTGACAAACCCAGAGTGTTGCAGTTCTTGACACAAACCGGTGCACCTTGCACCTACTACCATATCCCGTTCAAAGGCACTTACATCTTATGTCTTGCCCATTCACCCTCTGAATGGCACACAAACACAATCCATGTCTCAATTGTCTCAAGGCTTAAAAATCCTTCTTTAACCTGTCTCCTCCCCTTCATCTACACTGATTGAAGTGGATTTAACAAGTGACATCAATAAGGGATCATAGCTTTCACCTGGATTCACCTGGTCAGTCTATGTCATGGAAAGATCATCATGTTTTGTACACTGTGTATTTGTTTGGGCAGTTTATTATAAAACTTAGTATCCAAAAATAAGAATAATCAATCAAATAATCAATAATAATGTCTCTAGATACTGAGATCATAATATGTGGTATCATAGTGGTCCAATACTGACAGTATCACCTACCTATTTCTGAGTATATCCATTGATCAGGTCCTCTTAATATACCAGAGATACAATCTGGAAAACACCATGCCGGTATTAAAGTCCAAGACACAACAGAAGTTAAAATGTTCAGCTAGTGCTAAACAGGGCTGGAGTGAGAGAATCCTTGGGCTACTGATAAATTAAAACTGAACTCAGCAGTTGTGGCCATTTGTGAGCCTATCAGCAGTAGTGTTCCTTGTGGTAGAAACTGATATCAGATCAGCTGGTAGCAGGTTCTTAGGCTGAAGGTCTATATGTGCATTGATTCTCCTGGTGGCGAAAACTGAGGTTACAGTGCCTTCAGAAAGTATTCATACCCCTTGATTAATTCCACATATTGTTGTGTTACAGGTTGAATTCAAAATGGATAAAATATATATTTTTTCTCACCCATCGACACACAATACCCCATAATGACAAAGTGAAAACGTGTTTAGAAATTTTTGCAAATGTATTGAAAATGAAAAACATAAATATCTCAGTTACATAAGTTTTCACACCCCTGGGCAATGAGTCAATACATGTTAGAATCACCTATCAGCGATTACAGCTGTGAGTCTTTCTGGGAAAGTCTCAAAGAGCTTTGCACACCTTGACTGTACAATATTTTCCCATTATTCTTATCAAAATTCTTCAAGCTCAGTCAAATTGGTTGTTGATCATTGCTAAACAACCATTTCAAGCCTTGCCATAGATTTTCAAGCAGATTTATGTCAAAACTGTAACTCTGCCATTCAGGAAAATTCACTGCCTTCTTGGTAAGCAACTCCAGTGTCGATTTGGCCTTGTGTTTTAGGTTATTGTCCTGCTGAAAGGTGAATTCATCTCCCAGTGTCATGTGGAAAGCAGACTGAACCAGGTTTTCCTCTAGGTTTTTGCCTGTGCTTAACTTCTTCCCGTTTCTTTTTTATCCTGAAAAACTCCCCAGTCCTTAACGATTACAAGCATACCTATAACATGGTGCAGCCACCATGTGTGTGTGGTGTGTGTGTGGTGTGTGTGTATAGAGGCAGTTGTCGTGGAAATTACCACTGAGGACTCAAAGTCAAAGTTAAATGAACAGATCTTTATTATCACGGCCATAATCCACGTTGATTCAACATTATCACATTGTTTTGGTTGAAATGACATGGAAACAACGTTGATTCACCAGTGGTATGGTAATGATTTAGCTTTGCTATGGCAGTGAGCTACCCTGAAGCTGCAGAGCCTACTGCCAAGACGTAATGTATTCTCAGTTACTTTCTAAAATGGTTAAACAAATACGTGGTGTTTTCTGTCTGAATTAATATTATAGAAAATGTACAATGGAGCAGCAGTTGAAAGGTACCACTTATCTCGCCCTTTTTGCCAAGAGTTTGATAGAGATGTGTCATACATTTAAATCAAAATTAGGTATATTATGCAACTGTATAGGTTACATGGATACAGCCTGTTGTGTTTACATTTTCAGGAGGATAAGTGGCCTACAATATGGGTCTGGATAATGTCCACTCATGTTGATGAGAACACCACTGGGGGGGACTACTCCAGGGATGTTCTTGCCAGAGCTCAATGGTTATTAAAGTCAACTCAGTGGTTGCCTAGCTGTCTTTGATTCAGACCATTGTGAAAAATATGATATATTCATTTTTATTGAAGTTTGTAGCATACATTTTTACAAACGTGAAGCTACTCCAAATACCCCAGGCCAAAAAAACAAAAATGTTTGATGTTTGGGTGGTAGGTCTGAAGATCTCCAAGAAGGCAGAGGGATGGGGAGAGTGGAATGCTGTAACCCAAAAGGGTGGAATAGTTTGTGTATGGTTTCTTTCCAGAATTGTAGAGTGGGGTGGACAGAGCCAGGCGGTGTGAAACTAGTTGTCTGGAGTGTTGTTCATTAATTTTGATGCATTAAAATATAGTGTTTCCCAATCCTGCTCCTAGGGTCCCAAAGGGGTGCACATTTTCGTTTTTGCCCTAGCACTAACGCACTTGATTCAACTCATCAACTCATCATCAAACCTTTAGCTAGGAAACATTTATCTAACATGATTTTCAATAAAACAATTCTGACCTATTTATTCTCCCTGTAAGTGGCTTGCACCATCACTGTGTAAGCGTGAAATAACATGACTACAACCTTAAAATAAAATGTTTTATTACAATCTTGTGTTCTTGACCTCTGTTAAAATAAGTAGCAGTATGTAGGATATCTGGTGGCAACCCCAATCATGTAATGTAATTACACACACACACACACACACACACACACACACACACACACACGTTGAGTTACTTGTCAAAATAATATCTTACAGAACATATGCTCACTTCTCAGTTTGGTAACATTTATTTATTTGTCAAAAAGTAAAGTGAATACCATTTCTACCATATCTGGAAGCGTTAGCAGTACGAACACCCCATTTCATTTATCAGTGATTTAATCTCTCTTGAATTTGTATCTGTAATCATTTTTTATCTAGTTTAATCTTTGATTAATAAAGGGTGTTAAGATACAGGAGGTTCCCTTGTGGCGTTACTTTTTGGGGGTGTGATCCACCCCGTCCTCATCCACCCAGATCTCTCCGGTCTTGGCGAACTTCACCTCTTTGTCGACAGTGAGGATGTAGGACTTGGGGTGACCCTCAGCATACTCTGCCAGGAAGTTGTTCAGCCCATAAAGTGGAGATTTCTCGAGGCAACTATGTGTATTGTCACTTTCTACTTGGAAGCCAGTGACATAGAGGTTCTGAGGGAGGGGGGTCTTCTCAATGGTGCCTTCCAGGATGAGGATGGAGTCGCTGTCCTTGAGTTGACTCCCCTCGATGAGGTCACTGAGATCCATCTGCACTGTATTGTAGTAGAGACGCACCTTGCCGCCTGTAACGTTGGCTATGGTGATGCTGGGTAATAAAGTTTTTTGGGGAGTATTTGGTTGAGCTAAGAGAAAGAGAGAGAGTCATTGGACAGTTTTGAAATAAATGTGGTTGTCAGTATTAGGAGTTTGCTGAGAACAATGCTATGATCAACAAAACTTTATGCTTTGACATGTCTAATATCAATGTGTGTTATAATCCCATGTGGAATGGGCCACGTGGCACAACAATAAAATATTAATGTATTTATTTATTCATTTATTTATACAGTCCCTCCTGTTGGATAGGGTTACATACCTGAATGACTGGAGCACCGGTTCACAGTGATCACAGTGATGCTTTGATTTCCTCCCATTGCTGCTACTATAGAGAGGAGAGAAAGCGAGAAAGAGGGTGAGAGGAAGAGAGAGAATGAGATGTTCCAAATGCAAATGTTAAGCAGGGTACAACATGCATTGAAGATACTAAGATACCCGAGATGAAGTCGAGGGCCGACAAACCGTGCCAATATATCCAACAAACACCGGCTTCGAGGGCATTATCACTTTTATACAACAGGTTACCAACATATTCAAATACTGATTTACATATTTTCATTAAAAACGTTATTTTGATTAATTTATTCGTACTATTTCATCCTTCCACAAGATATAGTCCCGACACAAATCTAGGGTTGCTAGAGAAGCGACCCAGTCGTTCGTTCTTTTTGTTCTGTATGTATGGACCCGACCCAGTCGTTCATTCAAAATGTTCCATTGCCATACTGACTGGCAACGTTCTTATCCCTTGTTTGCTAGCTAGCCAACTACGGCTAATTTACAGTTATGTCAAAAAGTTCAGCCAGAATAACAGCCAGCAAACTAGCTGCATTTGCATTTGTTTAAGCTGTTTTCTAGTGACATTTATTTGGATACATCCGTAACAATGAGCTAATGATTCGCGATTTCAACTGGCATAGAGAATGCGCTCACTCATCAGGACACTTGTTCAGAGGAGCTAGCCATTAGTAGCCAACAACACAGCTACAGTAACACAATCACTTCAAACTGAAGCTGGAAAGACTGCACATTAGCTAAGTTTCGTTTTACCTTTTTTCAATGGATATTTCTTTTGTATATATCCATAAAAATGATGCCCGACACGTTCAATATTATGGAACAGCAGGAGATCGAATTTGAATAATGAAACAATGTTGCAAATGTCGGAGACAGACAGCAAGGTTTATACAAATCTCCACTGTTGAAAACTAAATGTTAGTCTAAAAGAAATGTGAGATAATGTCTAGATCCTTTTTTATAGTGGAGATCAAGTTTATAAAGTGCCTGACTGGGTTGATGAGACAGTAGATTGCGCAGTCAGATGGAACAGTGTAAATAGGCATTTTAACGTCATAGATTTAGCTGGTGGTAACTTGTGGAACAGACACCGGCTGGAATGCGGTTTTAACCAATCGATTCCAGGCTGTATCACAACCGGCCGTGATTGGAAGTCCCATAGGGTGGCACACAATTGGCCCAGCGTCGTCCGGGTTTGGCCGGTGTAGGCCGTCATTGTAAATAAGAATTTGTTCTTAACTGACTTGCCTAGTTAAATAAAGGTTAAATAAATAACAAATATAATATAATTTGCTTATTTGAGCTGTTCTGGCCATAATATGGACTTGGTCTTTTACCAAATAGAGCTATCTTCTGTAAACCCCCCCCCCCCCCCCACCTTGTCACAACACAACTGATTGATTCAAATGCATTAAGAAGAAAATAAATTCCACAAATTAACATTTAAGAAGGCACACCTGTTAATTGAAATGCATTCCAGGTGACTACCTCATGAAGCTGGTTGAGAGAATGCCAAGAGTGTGCAAAGCTGTCATTAAGGCAAAGGGTGGCTATTTGAAGAATCTCAAATATAAAATATATTTGGAATTGTTTAACACTTTTTTGGTTACTACATGATTCCATATGTGTTATTTCATAGTTTTGATGTCTTCACTATTATTCTACAATGTAAAAAAAAAATAAAGAAAACTTGAATGAGTAGGTGTGTCCATACTTTTGACTGGTAGTGCATGTCACCATAAAGCTCTCTGTAGCAATTAGTCCTGGGGCCGAGATTATCATGAGGCCAATAGTGATTTTAAAACCTAAACCTTAGGCATGTATTTAAAATAATGTATTTACCTGTGTCTGTGTGTTCTTCCTCGGTGCAGTGGTGCGCTTGAAGGTTGCAGTAATCAGGTGTTCTAGTGCAGAGTGGAGAGATGTGTCTGCTTTTATAGGGTAGCGCTGACAGAGAGAGTGACATGACAAACTCCCTGTGTGAGGATCTACTTTTTTGTAAATATGTCAGAGACAGAGCCACAGCTGAAGAGCTATTCAATATGCTGGACTACTTCCTGACTGAGAATGGGCTAAAGTGGGAGAACTGCATTGGTGTTTGCAGTGATGGTGCACAGACCATGGCAGGGATGAGAAAAGGACTTCGGGCACTCATCAAGAAGGCCTCACCTAATGCTGAGTGGACACACTGTGTTATACACAGAGAAGCACTGGCATCAAGGCACCTTTCCTCTGAATTAAGTGAGGTTATGACTGACATTGTAGGTGTAGTCAATTTCATAAAGACCAGACCACTAAAAACAAGAGTCTTCTCTGCTATCTGTGAGGAGATGGGAGCTGAACATCAAGCTGTGCTGTTTAACAGTGAAGCAAGGTGGCTGTCATGAGGAAACGTCTTGTCCCGAGTTTTTGAGCTCAGAGAGCAGATAAGAATGTTTTCGGAGCAGGAGCACAAGTATGACCTCGCAGAAAAATGTAGTGATGAGAACTTCCTGGCAAAGCTGGCCTACCTGAGTGACATATTTGGAAAGCTAAATGAACTAAATATACAGCTTCAAGGGAAAGATAAACACCTCCCTCAGGTCACAGACAAGATCAGCTCTTTCACTCGAAAGCTTGCAATGTGGGGCAGGCGACTTGATGAAGGAAATACTGATTCATTCGAGAACCTGCATGAATTTGTTGACACTACTGACTATGATGCCACCTCAGTGATTCCATATATTAAGGAGCATATTTCATCACTGATGGGATTCTTTAAAAAGTACTTCCCTGAAAACAGTTCCCAATATGACTGGGTGAGAGATCATTTCAATGCACCAGCTCCAACTGGTTTCAGCTCTGCAGAGGAGGACCAGTTCATTGATATCACGTCTGACTCCACATTGAGACTGAGGTTCACATCACAGACACTGAGTGAATTCTGGCTGAGTGTAGAGAGGCAGTATCCACTCTTAGGGCAGAGGGCTAAGAGTGGATACTGCCTCTCTTTGTGAGACTGGCTTCTCTGCTGTTGCTGCACTGAAGACCAAGTACAGGTCCCAGCTAAACATTGAGCAGGAGCTGAGAGTTGCAGTATCATGCTTCAAACCCTGCTTCGAAAAGCTGTGCACTGCAAAACGTGCTCATTGTAGCCATTAATCCTGACTTCCTCATTTTTATATTAAAAAAAATAATAATCAGCTCAAATTGTTTTATTCATTTTTGTTTTATAGGTCAAAGTGTTTCATATATTGTGCTCCTGAGTTAATGTTGCTGATCAATTTGAATGTATTGTTATTTATTGATTATATTTTATTTTATTTTTCAGTATCAAATGGTCAAAAAATGTTTACAGTTTAAATAAGGGTTGCATTTTTTTAAAATTTCAGGCAAATTGATGCACTTTAAGTATTTTCTGTTACAATGTTAATAAAGTTATTCTTTGTTGTAAGTTGATCTATATTTCTTTCTTTTTTATTTTCTTTAATGTTAATAAGGATACAATGTTATGCAGAGGTGTACATATAACAATTTTATAGACTAATTATACTATTTACAGTCGCGGCGGAGAGTTGGGGGGCGCGAAATGTTTACTTCTTCCTAGGGGGGGCGTAACAGAAAATAATTGAGAAGCACTGAACTACCCCGACAGGTAAATCACTGACAATCAAGGGAGTTTGATCTTTGATCGCCTAAAATAATAAAACGATGATCAGCCTAAGAATGCAAAAATTAGCAACCATGTGAGAGTCTCTGAGTTGCTATCTATGAGTAGTGGTTCTCTTGCTTGTTAAAACTGATCTCAAATCAGCTGGAAGCAGGATCTTAGCTTGAAAATCTATGTGCAGTGGTTATCCTGGTGCTGTCTCAGGTCCAGTTTGCGTTGGAAGAAGAAGAGGCAGCGGGGTCAGTGTTAGGGCTGGTTGGCATTGTGCTGACAGCTGCTAGTGATGAGGTTGGAGCTCTGGCTGAAGGCTTTGCCACACACCTGGCACACATGGGGCTTCTCACCTGGGATAGGAAAACAGAGGGGACTTACTGTATTAAAGGGGAAGCTCACTATTTTATAAGTTTAAGGGGCACTGCAGTCAAAATTAGGATTTTCCTGTTTTTTTCCACATGATAATTCCACACTATGAGGTCGAAATAACACTAAAATTGTGACAATTATGATAATGTCTTTTTAGTGTAAGAGCTTTTTGTAAAAAAAAAAAAAAAAAAAAAGAAAACTGCTGTTCAGCCTGTTCAGATGGGATGGAGTTTTTGTCCCACAGTATGACATCACAATCTGATCTGAATATTCTGACCAATGATCAGTCATCTTTTATTTTCATATGTGTCGTCCTATGTTGAAGGTGTAAGCAGGGTAGGCTCTAAAGCATTTTCCCCCAGGGGTAGCCTTCGGTCTTCAACGAGGTCCGGAGGGCTGCACTGTTTTTTGGAATTTTCAATGATCCCTGACTATCTAGGTGATTATTAGCAAGCAAGACACAGTAAAGAAACAGTATGAATGTATATAGGTCCATTGTAATTTCTAAACAGTTTCGATTTGGTTTTAGTCATTTTAAAGTATATTGAGGCTGAGGGAAATAAATTATACAACATATTTGGCGTTATTTTCATTAAATAAACACATACTGTGATTTATTAGACATACAGTAATGATTTAAAAATAAACAAAAAAAGACAAGCAAAACTCAAACAGGAAGTACCCGTGACGCTCTTAATATGGAAGTGGTCAGATGAAGCGGATGCTAAGCTACAGGACTCTTTTGCTTGCACAGACTGGAATATGTTCCAGGATTCATCCGATGGCATTGAGGAGTATACCCCATCAGTCACCGGCCTCATTAAAGTCCATCGACGACGTTGTCCCCACAGTGACCATACGTACATATCCCAACCAGAAGCCATGTATGACAGGCAACATCCGCACTTAGCTAAAGGCTAGAGATGCCGCTTTCAAGGAGTGGGACTCTAACCAGGACGCCTATAAGAAATCCCGCTATGCCCTCCGACGAACCATCAAAGAGGCAAAGAGTCAATACAGAACTTAGATTGAATCGTACTACACCGGCTCTGACGCTCGTCGTATGTGGCAGGGCTTGAAAACTATTACAGACTACAAAGGTGTGAGCTGCCCAGTGACACAAGCCTATCATACGAGCTAAATCACTTCTATGCTCGCTTCGATGCAAGAAACACTGAAGCATGCATGAGAACATCAGCTGTTCTGGATGACTATGTGATCACGCTCTCCGTTGCCGATGTGAGTAAGACATTTAAGCAGATGGATTACCAGGACCTGCACTCCGAGCATGCGCTGACAAACTGGCAAGTGTCATTTTCAACATGTCCCTGACTGAGACTGTAATACCAACATGTTTCAAGCAGACCACCATAGTCCCTGTGCCCAAGAACACTAAGATAACCTACCTAAATGACTGTCGACCCGTAGCACTCACGTCTGTAGCCATGAAGTGCTTTGAAAGGCTGGTCATGGCTCACATCAACACCATTATCCCAGAAACCCTAGACCCACTACAATTTGCATACCGCCCCAACAGATCCACAGATTATGCAATCTCTATTGCACTCCACACTGCCCTTTCCCACCTGGACAAGAGGAACACCTACATGAGAAGGCTATTCATTGACTACAGCTCAGCGTTCAACACCATAGTGCCCTCAAAGCTCATCACTAAGCTAAGGACCCTGGGACTAAACATCTCCCTTTGCAACTGGATCCTGGACTTCCTGACAGGCCGCCCCCCAGGTGGTAAGGGTAGGTAACAACACATCTGCCACGCTGATCCTCAACACAGGGGTCCCTCAGGGGTGTGTGCTCAGTCCCCTCCTGTACTCCCTGTTCACCCATGACTGCATGGCCAGGCACGACTCCAACATCATCATTAAGTTTGCCGACAACACAACAGTGGCCTGATTACAGACAACGATGAGACAGCCTATAGGGAGAAGATCAGAGACCTGGCCGTGTGGTGCCAGGACAACAACCTCTCCCTCAACGTGATCAAGACAAAGGAGATGATTGTGGACTACAGGGGAACTGAGCACGCCCCCATTCACATCGAGTGGGCCGTACTGGAGCGGGTAGAGAGCTTCAAGTTCCTTGGTGTCCACATCACTAAGGACCTATTGTGGTCCAAACACAATGACGCCACGCTACAAGCTTGGCACACATGTATTTGGGGAGTTTCTCAATTTCTTCTCTGCAGATCCTCTCAAGCTCTGTCAGGTTGGATGGGGAGCGTCGCTGCACAGCTATTTTCAGGTCTCTACAGAAATGTTTGATCGGGTTCAAATCCAGGCTCTGGCTGGGTCACTCAAGGAGATTCAGAGACTTGTCATGAAGCCACTCCTGCGTTGTCTTGGCTGTATGCTTAGGGTCATTGTACTGTTGGAAGGTGAACCTTTGCCCCAGTCTGAGGTCCTGAGCGCTCTGGAGCAGGTCTTCATCAAGGATCTCTCTGTACTTTGCTCCGTTCATCTTTCCCTCGATCTTGACTAGTCTCCCAGTCCCTGCCACTGAAAAACATCCCCACAGCATGATGCTTCCACCACCATGCTTCACCGTAAGGGTCCTTCAATGCTGCAGAAATGTTTTGGCACCCTTCCCCAGATCTGTGCCTCGACACAATCCAGTCTCGGAGCTCTACGGACAATTCGTTGGACCTACCGGCTTGGTTTTTGCTCTGACATGCACTGTCAACTGTGGGACCTTATATGGACAGGTGTGTGCCTTTCCAAATCATGTCCAATCAATTGAAGTTACCACAGGTGGACTCCAATCAAGTTATAGAAACATCTCAAGGATGATCAATGGAAACAGGATGCACCTGAGCTCAATTTCGAGTCTCATAGCAAAGGGTCTATGTACCTATGATGAAAATTACAGGCCTCTCTCATCTTTTTAAGTGGGAGAACTTGCACAATTGGTGGCTGACTAAATACTTGTTTTCCCCACTGTATGTAAATAGGGTATTTCAGTTTTTTATTTTTAATACATTTGCAAAAATGTCTAAAAACCTGTTTTTGCTTTGTCATTATGGGGTATTTTGTGAAGATTGATGAGGAAAAAAGTATTTAATCAATTTTAGAATAAGGCTGTAACCTAAGAAAATGTAAATGGGTCTGAACACTTTCCGAATGCACTGTATCTTACATTCTAGTTCACATGATTTTCAAATCCAATGTAATTGTCACATTGTATAAGGATTTGAAGACAGGCGCAGAAATAAGTAGTAGGGGTATTATTTTCTCGACCCAACACAAGGTACGTCATGAACAACGACAGGGACGAAGCCCAAAACAAACACGTATATATATATATATATATTACACAGGGATGTAACCCAAACAAAAGAGAGGTGTGTAAACCTCTAAACAATACATAGGACGAGACCCGCAATAACCAGAGCGCAATCTCTAAACAATACATGGGACGTGACCCGTAATAACCAGAGCGCAATCTCTAAACAATACATGGCAGAGCGCAATCTCTAAACAATACATGGGACGAGACCCGTAATACCAAGAGCACAATACATGGTACTCACGAGACCAATGGACATGGGACAATAATCGACAAGGACAATGGGGAACAGAGGGCACATATATACACAAACTAATCAAGAGGGAATGGGAACCAGGTGTGCGTAATGAGACAAGACAGTCTGTGGTTGGTAGTAATAATGTATGTCAGTGACGCCTAGAAAGCCGGTGACGTAGACCTCTGGAACTGGTGAACGGTATGAGCAGCAGTACCGGGGGGATCCATGACAGTATTGAGGAAATGTGCAGGCTTTTCTCCGCTATATATATTTGTGCTGCCTGTAAGTGTATTGCACCATCACTCTGTACTCTTGAAATATCATGACTACAACCTTAGAAATAAAACTTTGATTACAATTTTGTGTTGTTGACCTCTGTTAAAATAAGTATCAGTATGTAGGATATCTGGTAACAACCCCAATCATGTGATGTAATCACACACACACACACACACACACACACACACACACACTACGTTACTTGTCATAATAACATCTTACAGAACACATACTAACATTTTCTCAGTTTGGTAACATGTATTTATTTGTCAAAAAACTACAGTGATTACATTGCTCATTTCTACCATACACTCAGACTGTATCTTGAAGCACTACAAATCTGTGATTTATTCTGTCTTTATTTTTTATGAATCATTTGTATGTAGTTTCATCTGTGATTAATAAAGGGGGTTAAGATACAGGAGGTTCCCTGGTGGCGTTACTTTTTGGGGTTGTAATCCACCCCGTCCTCATCTACCCAGATCTTTCCTGTTTCAGCTAACTTCACATCTTTGTCAACAGTGAGGATGTAGGACTTGGGGTGACCCTCATTATACTCTGCCAGGAGATTGTTCAGCCCATTCAATGGCGATTCCTCAGGGCAGCTATATGTATTGCCACTTTCTACTTGGAAGCCAGTGACATAGAGGCTCTGAGGGAGGGGGGTCTTCTTAAAGGTTCCTTCCAGGATGAGGATGGAGTCGCCCTTCTTGAGTTGACTCCCCTCGATGAGGTCACTGAGATCCATCTGCACTGTATTGTAGTAGAGACGCACCTTGCCGCCTGTAACGTTGGCTATGGTGATGCTGGGTACTACAGTTTGTTGGGGAGTATTTAGTTGAGCTAAGAGAAAGAGAGAGAGTCATTGGACAGTTCTGAAATACATACGGTTGTCAGTATTAGGAGTTTGCTGAGAACAATGCTATGATCAACAATAAATAGTTGTTTATTTTAATGTATTTTTACGCTGGTGCTGGAACTGAGCTGTGAAATGTGAACGTATATGGACATGTAATTACTTTATGCTTTGACATGTCTAATATCAATGTGTGTTATAATCCCATGTGGAATGGGCCACGTGGCACAACAATAAAATATGAATGTATTTATTTACACAGTCCCTCCTGCTGGATAGGGTTACATACCTGAAAGACTGGTGGTGTTGGTCTGGTTGCCAATGGAAAAACTGTGTCCCCCATCGCCTGATATGGTTTGGCCTGATATGTTTTGGCCTGATATTTTCTGACTGTTGTCAACACGGTTGTCATTATGGCTGTCATTGTGACTGTTGATTTGTGAAGTACCATCATTTGAAGCACCATCATGTGAAGTATTCGCTCCCATTGCTGCTACGATAGAGAGAGGAGAGAAAGAAAGGGGGAGAGAAAGAGAATAACTAAGGGTTAAGTTGATTAAATTCAGTGGTGGAAAAAGTACTTAAGTGTCATACTTGAGTAAAAGTAAAGATACCTTAATAGAAAATGAGTAAAGTAAAAGTCACCCAGTAAAATACTCCTTAAAATTCTAAAAGTATTTGGTTTTAAATATACTGAAGTATTAAAAGTAAATATAATTGCTAAAATATACTTAAGTATTAGACAAAATGTTAGATAAGTGTTCAACCCCTATCTTATGGCAAGCTTAGTTCAGGGGAAAACATTGACTTCAAAAATCTAATAATAATATGCATTGACTCACTCTGTGATATAACGTATTTTGATACAGTATTGGTTAATGTTGATTGATCTCATATAGAGAGAACAAGGACACGCCATGTGTTATTGATGTCACTGGTGAGTGACAGAGGGTCGGTGTGCCAAGATAGATTGAGGGCCACCGTTGCTAATCTTAGAAGGAGTATGTGGTGTAATGGCCTGGCTAGGGTGCCACACGATACCATGTATGGGGATCCTATTGTAGTAGATGAGTGACACTCAATAATGGTTGGCAACTGTGGGATAGAAGTAGCTCGAAAAGCATTATATAAACTGAGAGATGTGTCTATGTAATTCATTCAGATGACAAGAGGCTTCGCCTGTACCGCTTGTCATTGAATCCAGTACTGTAACCATTAAATAATGACTGAATCAACTCCCCATCTGAGTGGTCGAATACCCTCTTGCATCCTGAACTTCTCAATACCAGAAAATCATAACAGATTGGCGTCAAAACGAACAGGATGCAGTTTACAGCCGAACTAACAGGTAAGCAGTTTTTTTTTTTTTTTTTGGTGAAATTCTGCTTATCTGTGGTAAAGCTGAGCTCTAACGAACGTTTAAAATACAAATATTTTTTTGAGGGGAACAGATGACTGGTATTCGAGTACTTAAATAGATGTAAGGAGAAGACAAATTAGATAATGACATAGTGCTATGATTCTAATCAGGGACCTTGTGAAGATGCTGGAGTAAACAGTTCCACAAGTATCTATATCCACAGTAAAACGAGTCCTATATCGACATAACCTGAAAGGCCGCTCAGCAAGGAAGAAGCCACTGCTCCAAAACCGCCATAAAAAAGCCAGACTAAGGTTTGTAACTGCACATGGGGACAAATATCGTAGTTTTTGAAGAAATGTCCTCTGGTCTGATGAAATGAAAATAGAACTGTTTGGCCATAACGACCATTGTTATGTTTGGAGGAAAAAAGGGGATACTTGCAAGCTGAAGAACACCATCCCAACCGTGAAGCACGGGGGTGGCAGCATCATGCTGTGGGGGTGCTTTGCTGCAGGAGGGACTGGTGCACTTCACAAAATAGATGGCATCATGAGGAAGGAAAATTATGTGGATATATTGAAGCAACATTTCAAGACATCAGTCAGGGAGTTAAAGCTTGGTCGCAAATGGGTCTTCCAAATGGACAATGACCCCAAGCATACAGTGGGAAAAAAAAGTATTTAGTCAGCCACCAATTGTGCAAGTTCTCCCACTTAAAAAGATGAGAGGCCTGTAATTTTCATCATAGGTACACGTCAACTATGACAGACAAAATGAGAAAAAGAAATCCAGAAAATCACGTTGTAGGATTTTTAATGAATTTATTTGCAAATTATGGTGGAAAATAAGTATTTGGTCAATAACAAAAGTTTCTCAATACTTTGTTATATACCCTTTGTTGGCAATGACACAGGTCAAACGTTTTCTGTAAGTCTTCACAAGGTTTTCACACACTGTTGCTGGTATTTTGGCCCATTCCTCCATGCAGATCTCCTCTAGAGCAGTGATGTTTTGGGGCTGTCGCTGGGCAACACAGACTTTCAACTCCCTCCAAAGATGTTCTATGGGGTTGAGATCTGGAGACTGGCTAGGCCACTCCAGGAGCTTGAAATGCTTCTTACGAAGCCACTCCTTCGTTGCCCGGGCGGTGTGTTTGGGATCATTGTCATGCTGAAAGACCCAGCCACGTTTCATCTTCAATGCCCTTGCTGATGGAAGGAGGTTTTCACTCAAAATCTCACGATACATGGCCCCATTCATTCTTTCCTTTACACGGATCAGTCGTCCTGGTCCCTTTGCAGAAAAACAGCCCCAAAGCATGATGTTTCCACCCCCATGCTTCACAGTAGGTATGGTGTTCTTTGGATGCAACTCAGCATTCTTTGTCCTCCAAACACGACGAGTTGAGTTTTTACCAAAAAGTTCTATTTTGGTTTCATCTGACCATATGACATTCTCCCAATCCTCTTCTGGATCATCCAAATGCACTCTAGCAATCTTCAGACGGGCCTGGACATGTACTGGCTTAAGCAGGGGGACACGTCTGGCACTGCAGGATTTGAGTCCCTGGCTGCGTAGTGTGTTACTTATGGTAGGCTTTGTTACTTTGGTCCCAGCTCTCTGCAGGTCATTCACTAGGTCCCCCCGTGTGGTTCTGGGATTTTTGCTCACCGTTCTTGTGATCATTTTGACCCCACAGGGTGAGATCTTGCGTGGAGCCCCAGATCGAGGGAGATTATCAGTGGTCTTGTATGTCTTCCATTTCCTAATAATTGCTGCCACAGTTGATTTCTTCAAACCAAGCTGCTTACCTATTGCAGATTCAGTCTTCCCGGCCTGGTGCAGGTCTACAATTTTGTTTCTGGTGTCCTTTGACAGCTCTTTGGTCTTGGCCATAGTGGAGTTTGGAGTGTGACTGTTTGAGGTTGTGGACAGGTGTCTTATATACTGATAACAAGTTCAAACAGGTGCCATTAATACAGGTAACGAGTGGAGGACAGAGGAGCCTCTTAAAGAAGAAGTTACAGGTCTGTGAGAGCCAGAAATCTTGCTTGTTTGTAGGTGACCAAATACTTATTTTCCACCATAATTTGCAAATAAATTCATTAAAAATCCTACAATGTGATTTTCTGGATTTTTTTCTCTCAATTTGTCTTTCATAGTTGACGTGTACCTATGATAAAAATTACAGGCCTCTCTCATCTTTTTAAGTGGGAGAACTTGCACAATTGGTGGCTGACTAAATACTTTTTTCCCCCACTGTACGTCCAAAGTTGTGGCAAAATGGCTTAAGGACAACAAAGTCAAGGTATTGGAGTGGCCATCACAAAGCCCTGAACTCAATCCTATAGAAAATGTGTGGGCAGAACTGAAAAAGCGTGTGCGAGCAAGGAGGCCTACAAACCTGACTCAGTTACACCAGCTCTGTCAGAGGAATGGGCCAAAATTCACCCAATTTATTGTGGGAAGCTTGTGGAAGGCTACCCGTAACATTTTACCCAAGTTAAACAATTTAAAGGCAATGCTACCAAATACTAATTGAGTGTATGTACACTTCTGACCCACTGGGAATGTGATGAAAGAAATAAAAGCTGAAATAAATCACTCTCTCTACTATTATTCTGACATTTCACATTCTTAAAATAAAGTGGTGATCCTAACTGACCTAAGACAGGTCATTTTTACTAGGATTAAATGTCAGGAATTGTGAAAAACTGTGTTTAAATGTATTTGGCTAAGGTGTATGTAAACTTCCGACTTCCAACTGTATATACACTGCTAAATTAATAGTACTAACAATGCATTGAGATGATGATCTGTAGTTATTCTCGGGATGAGGAAGGTCATAATAGAATTATGGATATACTGTATGTTAATATTGTCACGCCCTGACTCAGGGGACTCTTATATGTTGAGTCAGGGTGTGAATATTCTATGTGTATATCTATGTGTATGATCTAGTATGGGTAGATCTGTGTTGGCCAGTGTGGTTCCCAATCAGAGGCAGCTGTCGCTCGTTGTCTCTGATTGGGGATCATACTTAGGCAGCCTATTGGCACTAGTTAGTTGTGGGATCTTGTTCCGTGTTTAGGCTAGTTTTGTGTTAAGCCTTTGGACTTCACGTTTCGTTTCGTTTGGTTTGTTGTTTTGTCGTGTGTTTATCGGTAATAAACATGTATGCATATCACGCTGCGCCTTGGTCTGACCCGTCCTTGAACGAACGTGACAAATATACGTGTACACTCACAGTTGTAATGGGTACTAAAGTTGAGGGGTTTAATTTTGAGAAATAGGACCAATGTGAAAATCATCATAACACTCTGTGTGCAATAATAGTCCTCTGTAGCTCAGTTGGTAGAGCATGGTGCTTGCAACGCCAGGGTTGTGGGTTCGTTTCCCACGGGGTGCCAGTATGAAAATCTATGCACTCACTAAACCGTAAGTCACTCTGGATAAGAGCGTCTGCTAAATGACTAAAATGTAAATGTCAATATGATTTTTTAACAACTACCCCATCTCTGTACTGTACCTCATACACACAACATATCTTTAAGGCCCCTTAGTCATCCTTGCTCAGGTATGTCACTATAGGCGCCTGAGCAATGGAGCAAGCAGAGAAGCTGCATCCCCACTTTCAAAATAGGGGTACAAATGTATGTTTTTGCATCACTACTTTCTTACCAGAAAAGGATCATGATCCCCATTGGGTAATTTGTCATGTTCAATTATTATTAATGTTTTGAGCTAGTCTGTATTAAAATAGATATGTCAATTTTATATAATACATAATAATTAACGGATTGAATTTTACACCCCCTTCCCCGTTGCCTCAAGATTCATGGTTTTGCTTCCCTCCCGTGCGCCACTGTTTTGGTTCAGTGCAGTTACAATTTTTTTCTACTAGCTACAACAACCACAAAGTCAAAATTGACAATTTTGTAAATATTCATGAAAACAAAAATTAGCTTTTTGGTCCAAATTTAAGGTAAGGGTTAGGCATAAGGTTAGCAGTGTGGTTAGGGTTGAGGTTAGGGTAAGGTTTAAAATCAGATTTTAAGAAGAAACATTGTATAAATAGGCAGAGGTTATAACTTTGTGACTGTGGTAACTAGTGACGACCGTTAG